TCATCCATCTGACAGGCCCCACCTCTGGCTCCAACACCCACTCACATACACTGTTATTCTACACATACTCATACTCATATATACACACTCATACACATGCATGCTGTTGTGCAGTGTTGTAAATTGTTGCAATTGAGTCAGTTCCGACTCACGGCAACCCTGTATAATGTTTTCAAGGAGTAGACTGGTGACCTTGCCATTCAAACTGAACTTTTGGTCTAGTGCTTATCCTACAGCCCCACACCCCCTGATATATACACAACATCACTCACATTAACACTCAACACTGTATATACTCATGCACATTCACACTATGCTACACTCACACATGTACTGTTTATACACACACATGCAACACAGATATACACACTCATGCACACTCTTGTACAAGCATTCACACACATACATGTACATTATTGGTGGTTATATGACGTGGAGTCGGTTCCGACCCATAGCGACCCTGTGTAGGGTTTCTGAGGCTGTAAATCTTTACAGGAGCAGAAAGCCTCATCTTTCTCCCGCGGAGCAGCTGGTAGTTTTGAACTGTCGACCTTGAGATTTGCAGCCCAATTTGTAATCACTGTGCTACCAGAGCTCCTTACATATACATTATACACAAATCATATTTATGTTCATATATACATTCACATACCACACACTTTCACATATACACATACTATAAGGGATATTTTTAAAGTTCATGGAAAAATTCCATTTTTCTACGAACTTTTTGAAGCCTTCTCTTATACGCTTATTCTTACACAACATATGCATTCATACATTTTCACACTATACATACACACATTTGTGCACACTCATCCACACATGTGCATGCGTACACACTATACACACACATACATTTATATGCACTTACATGTCCACATATGCTCATGCTCTCATATACACTAGTACTGACCTATATCCATTCATGCACACACACACACACATCACTGGTACAATCACTTGCTCTCTCAGCTCATAAACCCTTATAGGTGAGCCTCTATCTTCTCACCCTGACCCCTGGACCATAACCACGTGAGTCATTCTCTCCCACCAAGCAGGACACCCCTGGGAAACCCATGGCCACCCAACAAGTAATTTGCTGTGGCACAGATTCCTGCCAGGGTTGGGCCTATATGTGGCACTGGAGCCCTGGCAGGACAGTATGGGCCCTTACCCTGATGGGACTCTCAGATATCAGAGCATCCCCAGACAGGACTGGGAGGCCAGGCTTATAGTTGTGACCTGGAACATTCCTTTTCCAGGCCCCTCTCACTGGTCTTCCCTCCCACAGGGGCTAGGAAGTGGTATCAGTTCTCTCAGCTTTATGGGTACTAGAGGCCCAGTGAACAAGAGACACACAACCCGCATCCTTGCCTGTACCCCCCTCAAGAGGTGGGCCTAGCACTGAAACCCTTCTGTGGTGGTCCTGACCAGGTGCCCAGGCCTCTCAATTGAGCTGGATCATGTGCTGCAGACATGCACTGCCCAGCACCAGGCCACTGCGTACCAGGTGCTGGCTCCAGGATTGGAAAGGGGCTGTTCTGGAGCCCTGAGGTAGGGCAGCAGGTTACCACTGGGGAGCCCAAGAAAGTCTCAAAAAGCCCAAGGCTGGCAGCCAGTTCCCATAGTAGGAGCCAAGTGGATTTGTGAGTCCCAGTAGGGACCAATAGCCACCCAGCTGCCACCCCATCCATGATGGGCATCCAATCCCAGTCTGTTCCCAATGAGCCAAGACTCCCTTGCACAAGAGCTCAGCTGTAGTCACCCTGCATCCTGGAGCTCAGCCAGGCATCGATCTCTAGAGTGGGGTCACTATAGCATCTGTTTACATGAGAGGAAGAGAAGTCATCTCTCTGGGAGAACGTAGTGCAGGGAAAGGGAGTGGGGTGCTTGCTGGCAGGTCTGATGAATCCACCCTGTCTCCAAACTCTTAGTGATGTATCAGGGCTGTGGCTGAAAACAGGACCCACATGGCTTAGCAGAAAACAACAGTTTCCTTACCACCCTACCTGCTGGCTCCTTGGTCTCCTGCCAGCTGTCACTGGAAGCCAGTCACACATCCTCCGTCTGTCCTGACTAGAGGGCATCCCAGTGGCTCCTAATAGGGACTTTCAGGCTACGGTACGATGTCCACCCCACAACTCGAGGGTAGGGCTCATGCCTGACCCAAACTTGGGAGGGTGAGCGGAAGCAAGTAGATGGTTCCAGTATACCAAGTAGATGTCCACAAAAAAGGGAATGAATGTGGATAAATGGAAGAAAATGTGGATGATTGAATGTATGGGGTTAGTGAATGAACGAGGACCAGACTGTGCCCAGCATGTGTGCCTTTAGGCGTCAGATCACCAGGAAAGGCTCAGTAAGATGACACAGTGAAGCGATAAGCATCTTAGAGGGGGTGGTTTGTAAATGTGCATCTTTGTCTTGTTGGCCACCATTTCTGGAAATTTGCAAACACGTGTCTGAAAAGGATATGGTTAGTAGAGATCCCTTGTGAGAAAGGCCATTGTGACAGAATCAGTTCCAACTCTCAGCAACTCTGTGTTTATCAGATCAGAAGTGGCCCTCACATGATCCTGCATTTGTCACAGCAAAAGTGGGCTCCCCAAGCCCCTGAGTGTGTCATAGCAGAAGTGGGCCTCACATGACCCTTCATGTGTCAGAGCAAAAGTGGCTTCCACAGGCCCCTGTGTGTGTCAGAACAGAACTGGATCACATGACTCTACATATGTCAGCAGAAGTGGGCTCTCCAGGCCCCCGCATGTGTCAAAGCCGGAGTAGAGATCACATGACTCTGCATGTGTCAGAAGAACCAAATCACATGAACCCTGTGTATGTCAGAGAAGTGGGCTTCCCAGACCCCTGCATGTTTCAGAACAGAAGTGGGCCTCATAGGGTTTTCAGTGGCTGAGATTTTAGAAGGAGACCTCCAGGATTTCTTTCACCTGCTAGGCAGAATAAACTACCCACTTCCCGGTTAGGACCTAATAGGTTTCCTAACCGCGTCACAGGTCTGCTCTAGGAAACAGGGTCAAGGAGGTGAATTAGAATCAACTCAGCAGCCAGTCACACATACATATGATGAAGCTTCAAAAAGTTTGTGGAAATTTTTCATTGTCTTTTGATTCCTTTTTTCCACAAAATTCTTGAAGCCCTTCATTCTGCAGCAGAACTCATCAGAAAGCATGTGCCTGTCTGCAGGACTCTGTTGACACCCAGCATCTGCCAAATCCATTCTGCCTGTCTGTCTCCTGAGCAGTCTATCTCCTCAGCCTTTATAACTTTGTGAACCTTTGGAGAGGAGCGAGGTGGGGGGCCACTGGCTACAAGGCAGCTAGCTGTGCCTGTGAACACAGGTCCCCTTCACCTTCCCTGCGGCCCCAGTGTGGGGCTCCCAGTACCTGGAACACTGAAGAATGTTCTGGCCATGATTGCAGTTGCCCAAGTGAACATGGTCCAGTGAGGATGTGAGGGCATAGAGCTGAAGCAGTCCCTCCCTGGCTGGTGGGGTCCACCTGTTGGGTGCGAGGGCCAAGCCTTTAGGCCCAGCAGCTTCTGAAGGCATTGGCTTGGAGTCTGAGACTCCAAAACCTTGTCTCTGTCCTCTCATCAGCCTTACCTGTGCCGCTGGCAGCCTGACTATGAACCTTTGCCCCCTAGTCTTGGTACCTGTTTAAAACCCAGGGCCTGACTCCGGACTGTGGAGCTGCAGGGTCTGGTGGCTTGGGAGCACCAGGCCTTTCCTGGCCTCAGAGGCACTTCCCCAGGGCAAGGCCACTCATGGCCCCCTTCCTCTCGCTCGTCTTACCTGGGTAGGGGGCTGTCTGGGTAGCTCTCGACAGGCCCATTGGGAGCATTCCTGTTCTTGGAGCCATGATGCAGTAGAGATGGGCTCTGTTGTAAGGGGGCCTGGAACCAGTGCAACCCACCTCCCTGAGCTCCCTGAGATGAGGACATGTGAACCAGAGGGGCCATTTTTTCCTTGTCTCATGTCACTAGGCCATCGGGCAAACAAAACAACACCTTCTTGCTGGGCAGAAGGTAGGGGCCAGGGCCTGGGTCCTCACCATCCATAGGCTGGATGACCACTTGGCTGCTTTACACATCACCCCTCAGCAGAGCCACTCAGCCCCCATTGTCCAAACAGAGTTACACCTTGATGGGCACTATTGGGCTGGAGAATAGGTGTTGGCATCTGTGACACCTCACCCTTCTTAGAGGGCTCCTCCGTCCTCCTGCTAGTCAGGCACAGGGTTATTATAACAGGTCTCACTTAGATTTCCACTGGCTCGAGACAGTGTTGTTCCAGCTTCCCATCTATACAACTGGTGGTCCTGCCCTAGATCCCTTACTGGACTGCCCTGATCAGGTGCTTCTGAGCGTGGACTGCAGAGAGCCATCCGGGAGCTGACTCTGAAAGCCCCAAGACGTTATCAGAGACTTCCCATCACTCCAGGCTCAGCCCTGGTTATTTGTGCTGTTTGATCAGACACCGTGACAGGTTCAGTGGGGGTATGGGGTCAGTCAATGTGGACTTGGCCTTCGAACAGCCAAGAGGGCATCTCTGCTCGAGTGAACTGCTGATGTGGCAGGGAATGGGCACCCAGCCTTGACTCTGGATGGATGCTGCTCGTGTGATGTGGCCCCGGGGCCTAGTAGTCCCACTCCTCAAACACGATCCTGAGCATGTCCTGGGCCCTCACTGCATCAGACCAGGCTTGGCCCATGTGCCCCATTGGGGCTTTGCCAAGTAAACACGTGTGACCCAGCCATCTAGGAGGGGGTTCGGGGCCATGTTATTCAGAGTCTGCTGCCACTGTGGGGAAAAGTGAAATGGCAGCAAGAAGGAACCATCTGTGTGAGGCCTCGAGGGCCAATGGAGAGGAACAGGCCCACTGGACTGGACAGAGGTCCCTTGGCTCCAGGGTGGGCTGTGGGACCTCTGGCTGTGGGCACCCCTGCTCACATCATCCCCCGCCATGCACATCTCCTTGCAGGGTATCTGGCGGATCCCCGTGGACGAGATCGACCGGCCGGGCAGCTTTGCCTGGCACATGAACCGCTCCATCGTGCTGCTGCTGAAGGTGCTGGCCCAGCTGCGGGACCACAGCACCCTGCTAAAGGTGTCGTCCATGCTGCAGCGCACGCCTGACCAGGGCAAGTGAGTGCTGCCCACCAGGCTGGGCCAGGGGACAACTGTGGTCAGGACGGGTGTACCAGGTCCTTTCTCCAAACCTTCTGTCTTAAGAGTCTAAATGTAAATGGCATCACCCTGCCCAAGTATGCTGCAGGTGCAGAGACCACAGGTGTGTACCTTGCTCAGGGCAGGGGCAGAGGAAGAGGGGATGCTGCTGAGCTGCATATGGTTGTCCTCTGCAGGAAGTATCTGCGTGATGCTGACCGCCAGGTCCTGGCGCAGCGGGCCTTCATCCTCACTGTGAAGGTGCTGGAGGACACGCTGAGCGAACTCGCAGAGGTACGCCGCCCACCTTGCTCACAATCACATGCCCAGGACCCCCAGGGCCATTCCCGGTACACTCCGGACTAAGTGCCTACACACAGTTGCTCCGGCTGTGTGTCAGGGAGTGTGACAACACCCACACCAGGGATCCCATCAGGCTGACAATGCAGCCCCGCCTCCAAGGCTCACTCCAGGGACTGAGCAGGACCCCTGTCTCGTCCTCCTTCCCCAGGGCAGGTATTCGTTCTCTGCTTTTAGGTGAGGGGACTGAGGTCTTAGGAAGTTATCGTTTCAAGCTAACAGTGGGTGCCTTGTGATTTGTACCAAGACAAAGTGACCCCAGAGCCTCCTGCCCAGGCAGGAGGGTCAGGGTGTGATACCAGGGCCCAAGACAACCCTCAAAGCTTGGGAAGTCCTTGTCCCACCCCCTTCCTGGACCACAGTGCAGTGATCCCTCCCTACACAGGGTCAGGACTGAGGAACCAGAGAGGAGGCTTCTCACTAAACAGCTCTCAGACCAGCATGCCCCCACCCAAGGAGATCATCAGAACAATGTGGCATTGAGTGGCGGGGTCCTGGGTAGCAGACCTGGCAGCCAGGGAACTGTGGGGTGCAGACCTTGGGGACACAGGGTCTTCTCATTTCCCGCTCCTATAGGGATCTGAATGCCCAGGGCCCAAAAACTTTGCCCTTCCTGGGAGCAGGATGACCACGGACGTCTCCCACAAGGCCAGCCCCGAGGATGGCCAGGAGAACCTTCCTCACCCCAAGAAGCTCCCTTTGGCTGATGGTGCGGGTCCAGAGGCCGAGCCAGGGGGCAATGTGAGCCCACCCAACCCCCAGCCTGTAGCCCCAGACCCAGGCGGCAGCGTGAACCAGAGCGGGGATCTCAGGGACAAGGAGGGCCCCCGGTCTGGCTCTACAGAACCCATGGACACAGCTGAAGGACTTGCCCACCACCCTGATGCAGAGCGGGCAGCCCCCATGACCCCAGGCCATCTCCCTCCGGAATGGGGCCCTGAGAGCCGGCCGACAGAACTATCACTGGAGGAGCTGAGCATCAGTACTGGGCAGCAGCCCTCACCAGCCCCTGAGTCCTCAGGGCCTGGACCCAGGATGGGCGGGACCCCTGAGGAACCAGCCCCCAGGCCCAGCCGAAAAAGGAAGCTCCTAGAGGACACGGAGTCAGGCAAGACTCTGCTACTGGACGCCTACCGCGTGTGGCTGCAGGGACAGAAGGGAGTGGCCTATGATCTGGGTCGCATTGAGAGAATTATGTCTGAGACCTACATGCTCATCAAACAGGTGACAGATCTGGGTGGGGTGCTGAGTGGTGGGGCCAGGGCAGCCAAGGGCCAATCTGAAGTAGTGCCTCCTGGAGAGGTCTTGTCCTTCACTCCCACAGCCCCACCCAGAGGACCACCCAGCACCTGGCAGGAGTCAGGGGGCCTCCAGGTTACCATTCCTGGCTATCCCTACTGTCATTTTCCTACATCTGAGGTTTTCTGTGGTGCACCTGGGTCTTTTTTTTTTTTGGATAGTATTTTTTTAAGAACCCTGGTGGTACGGTAGGTTAAGCATTAGGCTGTTGACTACAAAGTTGGCGGTTCAAACCAGTTGCTCTGAGGGGTGAAAATGAGGTGGTCTGCTCCTGTAAAGATTTATGGATTTGGAACTCCTAACATAGAAGGGTTTCTGAGTTGGAGTCAGTTCAGTGGCAGTGTTTTTAGGTGAATGTTAACAGAGCAAATTAGTGTCCACTCTAGCTCTCTTATAACCAATTGGCTAATTACATCACAGAGCATGATTATGTTATAACATAACTGCTGAACTACTGGCCAAGTTGATGCATGTTTTATTGGGGGCACAATTCAATCCATAACACCTGTCAGATTCTGAATGACCTCTCTACTCATGGCCTTCTACCCTGTTCCCCTAGTTTCTGTCACACTCTGAAGGCTTGGTTGGGATCCCTGGCTACTCTGCTCATGTAAATGACAGCTCCAGAAATGTCTAGAGGGATGGCCTGGAGCTGTGGGACCCTGACCAGCACCTCTCCAGGAAATGGACAAGACGTTTGTCCAAGCGCCCCAGGAAGGGTTGCAGTAGGGCTAGGTGGGGTCAGCAGTGGGGCTGCTAGATAGTCCCCAAGCCTCAAGTCCCGCCCCTCCCCCAAAGAACAGTCCAGCTGTTTTGCAGGGGGAGAAGCTTCCCCACCCAGCCCAAGTGTCTGACCCAGTGTCTTCTCAGGTGGACGAGGAGACAGCGCTGGAACAGGCAGTGAAGTTTTGTCAGGTCCACCTGGGGGCCGCTGCCCAGAGACAAGTAAGCAAGTACCAGCTCTGCCCCCCAGATCTGGGGTTCCCTTTGCTGCCAGCCCTCTGGCTGCATCTGAGATCCCTTGGGCAGGTGTTTTCCTAGTGGAGGTCGAGGGGGCTCAACCCCCAATAGGTCAAACCCACTGGGCTCCTGTCTTAGCCTGGGAGCTGGGAGACCTGTGGGTGGGAAGACAGCCTGCTCTGTACTGTCCCCTGTTACCATGGCAGCTGGTGTGAGGGAGGCTCTGTGCTGTCCTCAAACTGGAGGCTGTCGTGAGTGAGGACAGGACACGGCATCCATACCCACTCCCTGTTTGGGAACTCTCCATCAAGTAGGCTGTCCCCAGGCCAGCACATTCCCACCATGTAGAAATGGCCAAGTGGGGAGCAAGCCCATCTCTGGTTGGGCTGTCCCCTCTGAGCCCTCCTAACTGACCCTCGAGAAGTGACTTTCCAGGCCATTGCTGCCTATGTCCCCTGACGACACCCCCTCCTTTGTCCTCCTAGGCTGCAGGGGATACTCCCACCACCCCAAAGCACCCGAAGGACAGCCGAGAGAACTTTTTCCCAACAGCAGTGACCCCCACAACCCCTGATGCCTCACCTGCTGATGCCCTTCATCGACCCAGTGACAACCATGCCAAGCCCCGTACTGCCCCAGCCTGCTGCCTGCCTTGTGCATCAGCCTTTGCCCCAGACTCCACTAAGGACCTCGGAACCCCTCGGCTACACAGGCCCGAGGCCACCCCCAGCACCACTTCAGTGGCCCCAGGTGTGTCCCATCCTTCCTGTCCACTGGGCCAGGATATACTGGGTCCTCAAAGACCCTAGCAAGGCCAGCTCAGAGGGGGTGGGGTAGCACATGATCAGAGCCTAAGGGGCCTTCAAGTTGGCAAACTGGCTGGCACAGACTTATGTCTGTATGTCCTTAACTCACCCTCATGCCTTTGGTCTCTGCTTTGGGGAGGGGAAAGAGGAGGGGCCAGGCCTGAGTAAGCAGCTCCCAGGTCAAGGAGGTGTACGGGACCTCAGAGAGGCTGTCCATGGGCATTGCCACTCCTTTCAGAGCTCTGGACACAGCAGCCACCCAGGCCAGGGAGCTGCAACAGGCTTGGGCTTCAGGGAGGAACATGAGGGGAGCAGCTGGGCACATTCCCCCACACTGGCTAGGGCTCCCTGCTGGTGTTCAGGCCCTAGGGTCAAGCCAGGCAGGCACTGATGACCCTGGGCCTCGGCTCAGTTATGACCCCAGGCATGGGGTTTTCTGGAGCAGTCAGGTGGATGGGCCTCCTGGGCCCTCCTTCCCTTCACCATGCTCCACAGGGCTGCCCCAGCCCCCTCAGGCTATGTGGGGATCCAAGGGCTGATGGGGAGAAGCATTTGTGGGAGGTGGCTGTCCTGGGTGGTCTCAGAGCTTTCAGGTAGGGTTCTGTCCTCCATACTCTGGATGTGAGTGGGAATACTAGGCCCTTTCTCGTTCTTGTCCCAGGACTCAGCCTGAGGGGAATGGGAGGAGCAGGCCTAGTGGAGGCCTCAGTGTGGCCATGACCTGATGGCATCATTATGGTGTTGCCTGGGGCAGCCTGAGGACCCAGGCATCAGTAGCTGGTCCTATCTCTACCTCATGCTAGAGACAGCATGCTCTGGCCTGGCTGGGGTGCAGTGCTAGCATGCTGCCCTGTCCAATTTGGTCTTGGCTGGTTAGTTTGGCTTTCAATCAAGGTTCTGTTGGCCCCTTATGTAAGCAAGTGGTGGTGGGGGGGGGGGGGGCGGAGCAGAAACCTCCTGCCCCATGTGTTATGGAAGGCCTGCACTTCGGGCTGTTTTCTGCCAGGACCGACCTGGCCCCCAAGCACCACAGCCTTCTTGGGTGGGGTCATCAGCACTGTGGTCCCACTCTGGTGCTGCAGTACCCCAGACAGTGGAGGGGTGTGGGGAGGTCAGAGCAGATCAGGCAACCACCTTTGAGGCCCCTTCAAGGCCCTGACTCCAGGAGTGGGGAGGATGTGGCCCTGAGCTGATCCCCGTGTCCCTCCAGAGGGAGAAGAACCAGCAGGAGTGGTGGAGAGTGCCAGCTTCACACTCCAGGAGCCCCGGCGCAGCCAGCAAGTGAAGTCGGCTCCTCTAGCAGCCCCAGCAGAGCAGAGCCGCTGGTCAGTGGAGGCTGCCCCCTCAACAGGTGTGGAGCCCACCTGCAGCCAAGGTAAGGCTGATGGGAGACATTGGGGTGTGGATCCTAGCAGAACAAGTGGGTCGGGGGACCCTGTGGGGTAGAAGGGCACGGCTTGTGCAGGTCTGCTGAAGAGAAAATGTACGAAGGGAGGACTGGTTGAAGGATTTGGATCTGTGGCCAAAAAGAGGTTGGAAAGGGGTCCAGAGCACCTTCTTCCACCTCTCTTTCAGAGGAAGTGGGCTATTTGTTAGCTGTAAACCAGGTCCCTGTGGCTGGGGAGGTAAGCACCCAGAAGGGACGGAAGGACAGACACTGAGGGAGGAACGGGACACTGACCAGTCCTGTCCCCATGGGCATCCAAGCTGCCACACCAGCCCCAGTATAGGATGGATTCCAACCCTTTCCCACCTTCGCCCTGTGGCCTGGCCCTGTGAGACCCTTGACCAAGGTCCCTGAGGACTATTGAGGACAACAGGACTGGAGCCAGACACCATAACCATGAGACTGTGGAGCAAAGCCCACTCCTTTTAAAGCCTTGACGGGCCCATCGTGGAGCCTAGCCAGGCTGAGGTGGTTCCCAGTGTGCAGTTCCTGAAGCTGGGCTGCCTCACATCACCTCTAGACTGGCTTCTAACTGCGGGTCCCACGGGGCGGGGTGCTGGCTGTCACCCAGGCCTAGGCTCTCAGTGTGTACAACGGTACTGGGCAGGGCAGTCAGCATGGTGGAGGCTGGGCCGGGGCTGAGGACAGGCAGTGGGAGTGGGGTGCTCTGGGGTCCTGTCTCCTAGAGGGAACCCTGTGGTTTCAGGGTCAAGAAGCTAGACCTCTGAGACCTATGACAAGGCTCCGCCCCCACACACCCCCTCCCCAGCCTCCAGCTCCAAGGACCCCAGCAGTGGGGCTGCCCAGCCTCATGGGGGGTCCCTGAGCAAGATCGAGCCCAGCAGGGCCAAGCCGCGTCTGCTGCCCAACATGCCAAAGCTGGTCATCCCCTCTGCCGCCACCAAGTTCCCTCCTGAGATCACGGTCACACCGCCTACCCCCACCCTGCTGTCACCTAAAGGCAGCGTCTCAGAAGAGACCAAGCAGAGACTGAAGGTGACTACTGGGGGCCAGGGACACACAGGCTACTGAGGGAACGGCTGAGGGGTGGGGGTGACAAAGAAGGGTGTTGGTTAGAGGGAATGGGGGTAGGACAAAGGTGAAAGCTGTAGAGGGGCCTGGGGAGGGGCCTGGCCACCCCTAAACAGCACCCCCCCATCCACAGTCGGCCATCCTGTCTGCCCAGTCAGCTGCCAATGTAAGGAAGGAGAGCCTGTGCCAGCCTGCCCTGGAGGTCTTGGAGACATCGAGCCAGGAGTCATCCCTGGAGAGCGAGTCAGACGAGGATGACGACTACATGGACATCTGAGGGGGGTCCACAGACACCCCCTAGGTGCCAGGCTCCAGCCAGGCTGGGGGACCCCCTCAGTCAGCCCCAGACAAGGTGGAGACCCAGTGAGGGCTCCCACAACATCCCCCCCCACCAAGTCTCCTGACCCTTGGGGTCAGGGTAGCAGGTCGTAGGCCATCGGCTGCCCCGCACATTAAGGGGTCCTGTGCACAGGCAAGGTGGTGGTCATCTGTGCAGGCCACACTCTTTTCTATGATTAAATACCTTTATAAAGTCACCCTCCCTTTCACCCCCACTCCCCACCCATGAGACTGTCAAGGTGCCAGGCTCTTCAGGGTGGGCTCACCCACATCCTTTTTTTGTTTTGTTTTGTTTTCTAATAAAGATGAAACAACTGTCTCCACTTCTGTTCTCTCTGGGGGCAGGGGGGCAGGTGTATGTGTGGCATGGGCTCCCTGCAGTACATTCTCTCCTCAGGGTGTGGGCTTCTCCCTACAATCTGAGGCAGCCTTAGGGACCCGCTGGACCCCAGGGGAGTGTCAGCATGGCCCTAGCCACAGATGTATGATGGGCTCCCCATAATGGGGTGTCATCACCACTGACCTTCCACACAAGTCTGGGGCCCAGGGCAGAAACTATTTAAGTCAGCCTTAGCGCTGCCCTCCAGACTCCACTGACAGGGACTGTCAGTACCACACCTGAGGCCCACACCTGCCCTCACTTCAGTTCCATCACCTCCCTCCTCCCTGCCCCCATGCCCAGTGGATGGGGCTGGATAAGCTGTCTGCTACCCCCACCATCATTTCAGTGGAAGGGCCAGTGCTCAGAAAGCAGTGGGCAGTCTGCGCCCTGGGCCGCTTGAGGAGCTGAGTCCAGCAAATACCACCTCCACCGTATTCCCAGTGACTGCAGAGTAGGTCCTACCTGGAATATTTTGAAATGCCATTCTAGATCTGTAGGGGAAGCTCTTGTCAGTTTGACCCTTGAAGCTTTTGCCCCAGGGCCAGGATCTGATGGGCTCAGACCTGGGTACTCACTGATAGCTGCCTTAGAGTGTGGGGCTTCCCCCAAGGTCGTGCTGAGCTCACATCTGTTTGGGGAAGTGTGTGAGGTGAGGCAGGGAGGTACCCTGGGCCCCTGTCCTGACACCCATACCCTGGCTGGCTTCCTGCCCTTCATGTAGGAGCCAGCTTTCAGGGGTGCCCCAGCTCTTGGCATCACACTCAACAAGAGGGACTGAAATGGGGACGTGGTCCCACCCCATGCCATTTGGTATCCCCTGGTGGTACAGTACCCCCACAGACACCTTGAGGACTCAGCCGGAGCAGGACTGGCGGGGCCCAGTGACAGCCCCAAGCCTGAGCCCTCCCGGATGACCTGCCGCGGTGCTCCCAGCAGCCACTGGGCCCCCATACCTCTCTGACTCCTCACCCACCTCAGTTTATTCATCTGCACATGAGGGTGGGGCATCATGAGATAATGCAAATGCACAGTGACCACAGGTCAGCAGCTCCCAGCCGGAGGCTAACTCAAGACTCCGACCCCGGTTCCTTCCGCAAGCCCTGCCCACCTCCAACTTCTCCACCCCTGCAGAGCAACTGGATCTAGAATAATACTGAGGATGGGAGGGTGGAGGCAGGGTCCGTCTTGGCTTCTGGAATGTGCTAAGCAGGCAGGCCCACCCTCCACCTGTGGACTTCGAGAGGCTGGCAAGCAGCAGGCGGGGCCAGGGGTGGGGCGGGGCGCTTGTGCTGGAGCAGCCGCCACCCCACGTCCTAGCAATCCAACACCACCCGCAGACTCGACTGCGCCATGAAGCTGTCTCTCCTGCACTGGGCCTTGCTGCTCCTAGTGCTGGCCACCAACCCAAGCCTCTGGTCTACCGCAGGTATGCCTGACCCTCCCGTCAGTTTGTCAAGTTGCTGCGGGGCCATCGGCACCGACCTCCCCATATTGCTGAGGCTCAGCGGCTCAACCTAGGTCAACATCTGTTGATTGCGTGTGTGGGGATGGTGGGAGGGAAGCCTGGGGCAGGGGGAGGGACTGGGGCAGGGCCCTGGGGAGCACACTAATGCCCACCCAGACACCCTGGGGGCCTGCTGGGGTGCAGGCTGTGGGCTGCCAGTCAGGAGTCTGGGGAGTATCATAATGCCTACCGGGACATGCTGGGTTTTAGGGGGTTGTGAGCCTGCACCCTGTAGGGAACAGTGTTCCCAGGTTAGGTGATGGTTAGCCCTCACTTGGGTGGAGCTGAGTCCTCAAAGTCCAGAATGGCTTTTCCTTCCAGCCTTATCTCATTTACCACCATGTCTCAGCCTCCTCCCCCATCTCCTGGAGCCATCACATAATAATAGGTCAATAAATATTTATGGATGCTCTTGCATACCAAAACCTAAACCACTAGTGAAGTGGAGCCAGGTGACTCCCAATCCCAGAGTGGGAGGCACATGAGGAAGTACCAGGGTGCCTGCACCACACCCCATTCTTGGCTGTGCCCCCTCAGGGACACAGGGACAAACCCTCCCAAAATAGGGGCCTCTTCTGGAAATGTGCTATTTCCTCCAGAAAGACGAGCCTGTGTCTTTTGGGGGCAGGTCCTTTTGGGGGGAGGGGAGCGGGAACAGAACAATGGTGTCTCAGACAGGTGAGTTCTGTCTGGCAGCCCCTTCCCTTTGAACTTCAAATGGGAATATTAGTAGCCATGTTGTCAGACCCCAGGCAAAGATAGCTGGAGAGGTCTCCAAACCATATTGAGAGCTTGGGCAACTGTGGAACTAAGTAATGTGGTGATCTGTGATAAGAATCACCCATCTGCCCCCTTGAGTCCTCTGTTTCCCCTTTTTGTCACAGGGACACCTCTGAGATGGGCATCAGAGAACTTAGGTCGGGCCTGGCTTTGGGTGGAGCGGTCAGCCAGTCTCTTAGTTCTTAGTGTCCTCTCCCACAGGGGCCCAGAAGAGCTGCGCCCAGCGCTGTGGGGACAAAAATGGACCATGCTCCTGCCACCCAACCTGCGTCAACCTGAACACCTGCTGCTCAGATGTGCAGAACTTCTGCTTGGACATTTTACCCTACTCTGGTTCCATGATGGGGGGCAAGGACTTTGTGGTGCAGCATCTGCGCGTGCACACCACTGACAGCATAGTGTGCAAGTATGTACCCTTCCTCTTATACTTGTGCCCACGGGATTCCTGGGAATGGTGGGCTCCTCCCCTGGCCCTGGCCCACCTCTTGGGCCTTGGCCAATCAGGTTTAAGGAGAACATAGAGACACGCGGCCATGTGGACAGCAGCCAGCAGGTGCACTGTGTGTCCCCACTGCTATACGAGAGCGGTCTCATCCCCTTCAATCTCTCCCTGGACAATGGCTACACCTTCCACCACTTCGGCACCTGGCTGGCAGGTGAGTGTCCCTCAATCTAGGCTCAGGGACTTTCCCATCACTAATCTATGCACAAGGAGACCTGCCCACTTGTCTCGAACCCGCTACGCTGGCCCAACCAGTCCTTGGGCGTCCTGCCAGGGCCCACAGTTGCTGCACTCACACCACAAGGTGGGGTTTTCCCTCCTCACTAACTCATTTCATAGCCCCATAACATCCAGTCCAGGCAGATGTTCCAGCTCAGAGGGAGGGAGCGGCGGGGTCTCACCAGGCTGCTCCTGGCCACGAGGGGTCTGCTTAGTTCTGGGGCATCCCCTCTCCTCACTCTGGAACCCAGACTTCCCTGTTCCCTTCCCCAGTGCACCCCAGCAAGGTGTCAGAGACAGAGAAGTGCACGCTGGTGAATGAGACTCGCTGGCAGTACTACGGCACTGCTGGCACGGAGGGTGACCTCACGGTGACCTGGTACCCTAGGGATCTGCCCACGGGGTATGTCAGTATTGAGCTGTGGGGCTATGAGGAGACCGGTGAGTGAACTTAGGGGCCTGGAGGGAACAGGACATGTCGAGAGGAGATTCAGGGAGGCTTGGGGGCAGCACAGTGAGATGGGTGGGGCGCCTGGCCTGTGAGAAGGAGGTGGCTTGCCTTGTGTGTCCTGGAAACAGAACAGGCTTCGTCCTCCCCAAGTACCAAGGGCCCTCCTGAGGGTGGCGGTGACCCTGCGTATGTGGAAGGTAGTGGTCCCCAAGCTAGAGTTGGTCTGGAACTGCTGCACAGGCCCTAGCTCAGCCACTGTTATCTGTCTGTCCTTCCATCAGGATCCACAGAGGGGCCCGGGGTGACTGAGTCTTCTCTGCCCTCAGGAAAGCCGTACTCAAAGGAGTGGACAGCCAAGTGGTCATTCCTGTACACCCTGGCCACAAACGTTTCCAACTCAGGCAACTTCACCTTCACGCCGAAACCTGGGTCGCCTGACTACCAGCACTGGGAAGTGGGGGCTCTTCGTATCCTTAACAGCGCTCACCAGGCTGGGAAGAAGTATGGCCTTCTGACCTTACCCACCTGGGACCCAGGGTGCTGCAGGGAGGTGGGGGTCTGCAGGCGGGAAAGGGTGGGGGCCACATGGAGGAGGTGGGGGCTGCAGGGTAGAGGAGTAGGGTCACGTGGAGGAGGAGAGCTGTAGCAGGGAAGGAGCACTCATATCACAGGGATCAGGGATAACAAGAGAGCTGTGGGCTGGGATGAGATGGTCCCCCTCAATGCCAGGTCCCTGCCCCCCCACAGGGACGTGCAGGCGCTCTGGAGCAACGAGCATGCACTGGCCTGGCATCTGGGGGATGAATTCCGGGCCAACCCCGTGGCCTGGGCTCGAAACCAGTGCCTGGCCTGGGAGGAACAGGAAGACAATCTGCCCAACTTCCTGGAGGAGCTGCCTGACTGCCCCTGCACCCTGGCCCAGGCCCGAGCTGACACTGGGCGTTTCTTTGTGAGACCTTCTGCCCACCCCTCACAACCTGTGGCTTGGGGAGGGAAGCATGAGTCGTCCACCTCAGTGTGTGGGTGTTGACTCCAGTACACGAGTCTGAGGGTTCAGGAGGTAGCAGTCTGGGGCTGAGTTTGTGGGTACAGTGGCCCCTGAATTCCTCTGCTCCCCGGGGTCCCCTGGAGAAGCCCTAGGACCGTGCTGGAGGGGGCCTCCCAAGGGTGACTGAGGTAACCAGGTGCCACCTGCTGCCCTGCAGACGGACTATGGATGCAACATGGATCAGGGCAGCGTCTGCACCTACCATCCAGGGGCTGTGCATTGTGTGCGTTCTGTGCAGGCCAGGTGAGCATCCAAACTGGGGAGTTAAGGGGTACACCTGTCAGGACTTGACCTGTCTGCATCCCCAGCCCCAACTACGCCTCGGGCCAGCAGTGCTGCTACACATCAGACGGCATGCAGCTCCTGACTGCGGACTCCACCAGCGGCAGCACCCCAGACCGTGGGCATGACTGGGGGGCACCCCCATACCGCATGCCACCGCGAGTGCCCGGCCTCTCGCACTGGCTCTATGACGTCATCAGCTTCTACCACTGCTGCCTCTGGGCACCCGAGTGCCACCGGTACATGCGCCGTAGGCCTTCCAGCGGCTGTCAAAACTACCGGCCCCCGAGATTGGGTGTGTGCTGGCCACCCAGAGTGCTGGGGGGAGACCCAGGGGAGGGAGGGAGGGCACGACATGCCAGAGCTGACACCCCACACCTGCCCACCACTCTGCTCTCCCTTAGCCTCTGCCTTTGGGGACCCGCACTTCCTCACCTTTGATGGAGCCAACTTTACGTTCAACGGGCGCGGCGAGTATGTGTTACTGGAGGCAGGTCTGACGCAGCTGAGCGTCCAGGCCCGGGCCCAGCCGGGGATGATGTCTAATGGTGAGGCTGGAACGGGGTGCTGGGAGAGCCCAGTCTTGACCCTGGGAGCTGGACTGAGTGACCCTGTGTGCCCCCAGGCTCTCAGGCCCTTGGCACCAGACTGACCGCTGTGGCAGTCCAGGAGGGCACCTCAGACGTGCTGGAAGTTCGGCTGTCTGACGAGTCCAGAACACTCCTACAGGTGCTACTGAACCAGCGGGTGCTCAGCTTCAAAGAACAGAGCTGGATGGACCTCCAGGGTGAGTGGCCATAGCCCAGAGGGCAGCTCCATTGCAGAGGGATCAAGGAAGGTGGCACGGCCAGTGAGCAGGGAGTTCTTTCCTCTGACACAAACCTAGGCCTCAGCTTGGAGGGCAGCTGATCTGCCCAGTGGGGGCTGGACACAAACCCCTCCAGGTCAGACAGTGGGCACACTCCTCAGCACAGTCCTCTGGAATAGTGACCCTAACCCTGACTGTCCTCCTTAAGAAGGTTAAGGATGCTCCTCAGAATAGGCAGTTCTGGCCTGGGTTTCCCTGCGTGGAGCTGAGCACCTGAGAGGTCCCATCACAGGTGTGGTCAGAGGTGGAGAGTTGGCCTTAGACCTGCATCCCACTGGTGCAATCCCACTCATCCCTGACCTAATCCCCATCCCAACCAGGTCTGTTCCTGTCGGTGGCTGCTGAGAATGTGACCATCATGCTGTCCTCAGGGGCTGGCCTGGAGGTCCGCACACAGGGCCCATCCCTGAGTGTGACTGTTCTGCTGCCTGACAAGTTTTGGAACCATACCCAGGGCCTCCTGGGAACGCTCAACAACAACCCAGCCGACGATTTTACTCTGCGCAGCGGCCACATTCTGCCTGCCACTGCCAGTGCCCGGGAGCTCTTTGGGTTTGGGGCTGACTGTGAGTGGCTTTGGGGCATGCAGAGCAGGGAGTAGCTTGGAAACCCCCCCCCCCCCACCTGCCCTGCAGGTGCCATACTTAACCTGTCCTATCACATCTTCAGGGGCTGTGCGGAATGAGTCATCTCTGTTCACCTATGATTCCCAGTTCCTGGTCAACAACTTCTTGTACCGGCCCAAGCATGACCCCTCCTTCCAGCCCCTCTTCCCCGATGAGGTTGCCGCCTACTCCCATCCGAATCGTGAGGTGTACAGCGTCTGTGGGGATGACCCTTTCTGCAGATTCGATGTGTTGGCCACTGGGAGCCTAAGTGTGGGCAATGCCACAAGGGAAGCCCACCAGCAACACCTGCACCGCATGCAGAGCCTGCAAAGGGGTGAGGAGGGTGGGGATCCTATGAGGGGGACCAGGGGTTCTGGGAGGAGCCAGCATCTCAGCCCTGTCACCTGCCCCCACCCCCTAGTGGTATCCTGCGGCTGGTTGGCCCCACCTGCAAATGGACACAAGAACAGTTACACATACCTGGAAGGCTCTACCATCCGCTTCCTCTGTGACAGTGGTTACAGCCTGGATGGGGCAGAAGCCAGCACTTGCCAGTCAGATGGCACCTGGTCCATGCCCACCCCAAGGTGCCAACCAGGTAGGATGCCCTGCCCATGTGCCCACTACTGGTGCCCTGGGTCCCCCAGCTGCCCTCACAATACCCTCTCTCCAGGACGGAGCTACACGGTGCTGTTGAGCGTCATTTTCGGAGGCCTGGCCGTGGCCTTGCTGGGGGTGCTGCTCTATGTGCTGATTCAACGCAGAAAGGGCCACAGGTGACCTCCTGGCCCCCCACCCCCCACCTCCACGGTCTCTCTGGAGACCCAGGGCTCATCAAGCACACTTCGACTGCAGGGATGTCACCTGGGGCATGCAGCACCAAACGCTTGTGTCCAAGGAGGCATACCTGGCCTGGACACCTGAGACCCAGTGCCCACACCGCTCACACCAAAGCTTCCCACCAACCCCAAACTGTGGGCACATTTCTACCAGGCCAAGACTCCATACTCTGGACTGTCAGCAGCAGGGTGCCGGGCCCTAATACCTCTGTGTCTGAGACTTGAGAACCAGTGACTGCACGTTCAATGACCATACCCTGATCCCTGGAGTCCTGGTGCCCCACGTCAGCCTTCAGTGCTTCGCTGCCTTAATTCCTACACCTGCCCCAACTGAGACCCGCTTCTTGAGTTGCTGTTAGGTGCCATTGAGTCAGTTCCCACTCATAGCGACCCTATAGCGACCCCATGTATAACAGAACAAAATGCTGCCCCGTCACCACCGTTATTGTTTGAGCCCATTGTTACTGCCACTGTGTCAGTCCATCTCTTGGGGGTCTTCCTCCTTTTCTCTGACCCTCACTTTACATCCTTCTCGAGAGACCAGTCCCTCCTGATCACAGGTCCAAAGTATAAGAGACAAAGTCTCATCATCCTTGCTACTGTCCCTCATGTGAGAGAAATACAGCTAATGTGCTCCATCCCGTGTCCTGTGTTTATGCTGAGCCTCAGTTCTGGGGAATTAATTCCTCCTTGTCCCTGTGGGTCACCCATCAACAGCACCCAGAAGGACCAGAGTATGACTCCCACCCCTTCCCCTGGCACAGGTCCTTCCCAGCCTCTGCTTCTCCATCTGTAAGGTGGGTTTGCAGACAGTGACCACCTCTTGAGTTGGGACTCAGGGAGATATTTAACATGGGGTAGAGCATACTTGGATCTGTCTTTGCTCACCTGCCCTTGCTTCCTACCTGGGGATTCCTTAGAAAAGCTGGCTAGAAATGGCTCTGGGCCCCCCCGCCCCTGGTCTCAAAGGTCCTTGGCTCCGTGGTCAGACACAGTCCCTGGTGGCGCCATTTCATTTCCTCTAGAACAGGGCCCTACTTTCCTGGCCCCTTGCCCACCCCCCCATCCCCCCCCCCCCCCCCCGCTGGGGGCCCCAGCTCAGGTGGAGTCGCCTTTGTGGCAAGGTGCTCTAGGGGGGCCATGAGGGCCTAGGCTGGGTCCCCTTCATCCTAGAAAGATCCTGGTGAGGGTAGGGGCCAGTCATGGGAGCTGGGGATGCTTAGCTCTTAAAGTGGTGGGGGCATCAGCAGAGACACCTCTGCAGCCTGCAGTTCTTGGAGTGGCCACATGGAAGCAGTAGAGGGAGGCAGCGAGGGGGTTCAAGTGGCCGGGCAGCTGGACCCATAGGTGTGACTCGGTCACAGCCCCTCCCTGGTGCTCTGAGGTTGAAGCCAGGCCTCCCACTCCTCAGTCCTTCCCATGGGTCAGGGCAGGTCCTGACTGGAGGGCTTCCTGGAGGAAGTAGATGAACTGGCCATGAGCAAGAGACTTCACCATCCCCGGGAGACAGAGGAGTTAGGGAGTCAGTGAATGGTCTTCCAGACCTAGGGGTGATAGATAGGTGCTTAAACACTTGGGGGTGCTCATCTGCGTTCCCTGTCTCCCAGTCCCCAGTTCCAAATCCCTGCTACTGTTATGCCCAGAATTCAGGGTCCCCAAAGACCACCCAGGAGCCGTGTACCGATGCAAATACATAATCAAGCTCCAGCCAGGTCTCTAACCTTATCCGACATTTC